ACTTAAAGATTTATATTAAAAGTACTTTAACTTTTATAGTAATTTTTATAGTATATTTTTATGCTATTATTATATATTATAAGTATTTAAAATTATATTTTACTTTTTAATTATACGCCTAATTACTAGTTTACTAATTTAAAATAGGTATCGCGGCTAGCAGCCACGGAAATTTTAAAATTATATTATAATTATTAATATTAATAGCTTTAAAATTTTATTAATAATATTATATATTACACGCAAAATCCCTAGTATAAACTATAAGTATATATTTTTTATAAAATATTATTATATAGTTATTAACTACGCGTACTTTATAGGCTAATTTTTTACTTTATATTAGGTAGGACTTTGCCTAGCACTAGTTTATAAAATTTACTTTTACTTTAAAGTTAATAAAAACCCTTGTATATTATTATTTTTTATTTTTTTTTTTTATTTTTATTTAAATTACCTAGGCCCGCGGCATATTTTTTTATTTTATATAAATTTTTAAAACTTGTACCGCGCAAAGCTTTAAGGTTTTATATTTTTTATATTATTAAATTTACTTAAAGGCTATTATTATAAAGGTATTTTTTTTTTAACCTCCGCCTGGTAACTAATAATATTACTTAAAATATTTAGCATGGCTATAATTTAGGTATTTACCTAGGTATGGCTTTTTTATAAATAAAAAATTATTTAAATTATTAGGTTATTTTATACTAGTATTTACTTTTATACTTTTTTTAATAATAAAAAGCGCCCTAACTTTAGTTACTAATAATCTTGTATAAGTTTAGTTAAAAAATTTCTTTTTTTTTTTATAATAGTTTTTTTTTACTTAGGTATATTATTTTTAATACTTATTAAATATAATATATAATTATTATAATGCTTTAGTTCTTGGTATTTATAAATAAAAAACTTTTTTTATATATTTTCCAGGATTTTTTAGTACAGGTATCCTTAATACTAATTATTATTATACTTATAAAGTAGGTATTTCTTAATTTAGTTTAGTAACTATATAAATTACTTAATAATTTACTATAATTACTACTTTATATTACCCTACTTAATTAGCAAGTTATTAACCAGCACTATCTTATTATTAATTATTTTAATTAGCGCGTTAAGGAATTTTTTTTAAATAAATATAATTTTTATTTTATAAATATTAAACTATTCCCGCCTACGGTCCTCCGCTAAAAATTTAATAAATTAGGATATTTTATAGCTATTATTTAGGTAGTAAGTTAGGAAGGTTTTAAAGTATGTTTTTATATTTAACTTTTAATTATTAAATTTTTTAATATTATTTGCCTGGTATAGTTTTATAAATAATAACTTTTTTAAAAAGTTTTTTTTAAAATATATTATTATTACTATAATTCCTTTAGCGGTCTTTTTTAAAATTACAAGGTTATTAAAGTTTATTTAGCAGGAAACTATTAATTACTTAATAAATTAAATAAGTATATTATATATTTATTAGTTAGCTTTAGCCCTTGTAATTTATTAGCATGCCTTTTTAATTTAAGCATAAATTTATTAATATTTTTTTTTTTTTTTATGGTGTTCTTGCTCCTGCAATTCCTTTTTTTTTACTAAAATTATTTTTAATATTACCTATAATTTTTTAATAATTTTTTTACTACCTTTATTTTCTTGCCCCTGGGTGGGCCTTTTATATTTTAATATTTTTTATATAATTTAAGGTTTAATAGCAGGGGCGCCCTTGGGATTTTTTAATTAAAAGTTTATAAATTTTTTTTTAGGTATATTAATTAATTATTAAGTTAGGGTTTATAATTATTTTTTTAAAGTATTATTTACTAGCTCCTAGAATTAAGTTTATTACCTAGTTATTATATAAAATAGGTTTTTTTTTAAAAAAAAAGTAATTAAAATTATAAATTATATTTATATACTATGGTAAGCTTAAAAAAACATAAATTATTATAATAAAAAAGGTGTTATATATTTATAATAAAAATTAATTACTAATTTTTTTAAGTTAAAGTTTAAAGTTAAACTTAGTATTTTATATATTATATAACTAGCCGCTGCCTTAATATATAGCTAGTTTAGTGCTAAAGTTCCTCCGCCCGGCGGCCTTAGGCCGCTGGATTGTGTTATTACAACACTGCGCAGTTATAACACCATAATGGTAATAACAATTAATAATAATATAACCTATAAATAATTTATTTTTTTTTATATATTAAACGCAGGGCGCAGGGGGGCGCTTTTTAATAATTTATATTATAATTACCTTTATATTATTAGGTAATATAAAGGTGGCCTCCAGGCGCTTAACCTATAACTTTAGCTTTTATATTAGTAATATTTTAGCTAGTACTTGCTAGTAATAATTACTTATAGCCTTAGTATAGTTTATAATATATTACACAGCTAGCGCGCCGGGTAATAGTTTTATAATAAAGTATAAAAATATAATAAATAATATAATTATAAATTATTTTTTATAATAATATATTAAAAAAATAGTATAATTAGGTTTAATCCTAGGAAGTAACCATGTTAATATATAGCTTAATATTATAAAGTTAAGTTTTAGGTATTATAAAAATAAATAAGGTAATAGCCCTTTATTACCTATTAAAAATAAAATATAGCTTAAATAATAATAAAATAAGGCCATGGTATTTAACTAACAGGCTATAAATTATAATAACATGCTTTAGGTAAGGCTTTTAAAATTATTAAGTAAGTAATTTTATTATTTTAAAATTAAATAAAAGGTATTAATAAACTAGAATAATATTAATACTTTATTAAATACTTATCTTTAAATATTAAATCTTTGCCTATAGTTTATATAAGCTATTTTTAATAATAATTATAATTAACTATACCTAATAAATTATAATAAATTTAAACTTTTTTATTACTAGGGTCCAGCCCCAGGAAAAATAAATTAAAAAAAATTACTTACTTATTATTATTATTATATTTAATATTTTTAAAACTAGCTTTATTAATAAGATTATTTACTATAAAAATTATAACATGGGACAGGGCAACTAGCCCGGCTATAATAATATTAAAGTTTATTACTACTATAATTATAAGGCAGTGTAGGTAGTAAGTAAACTAAATAATATATATAAGCAAGGTAATAATATCTACTTTTTTTTTTTTTTTTTTTTTTTTTTTTTTTTTTTAGCCTTTTTTTTCTTCTTTTTTTTTTTTTTTTTATTATTTTTATTTTTTTTATTGCCTAGTACAGAAGCTAAATATATTAATTAATATATTTATAAGTAAATAAAAATTATAACTTATATTTATTAATATACTATATACCTAAGTTATTTTAATAGTAATTTATATAATTATTATTAAAGTAGCTTAATATAATAATATACTTTATAAATAGCCCGTGGCCTTAGGCATAATACCTGTAAATTAAATTATTTTTAATAAGTATATTAATATATTACTTAATAATAGCTTCCTGGTTAATAGGGCAGGTTATAATCTTTTTTATTATATTAATTTTATTAATAAGCTTATAAAGCATAAGCTCACGCTATAAATAATATAATTATTTATAAAGTTTTTTTAAAACCGCTAATTTATGGCCTAGATAATTTACTATATTAGTAATATAGGCCGCCAGCAGCTAGGTTAGTAAAGAAGTGGGCGTGCAAGTGGAAGTGGGCGAGCAAGTAAAAAAGGGCAAGTAAGTAGGAAAGGCAGCGCTGTTATTGCCTTTGGTATTAGCCATTATAATAAAAGGAATTTAAAAAATTAGGGGTTTATAAATTACAGGTTTATATAAGTAAGCTATATACTACTTATATAATCTATTTTTTTATTATTTTTTAAATACCTTTATTAAATTTGCTATTATTACGGCTATTAAAAAAAGTATTATTATTTAAAATAAGCTATTAATAAAAGTATTAAATATTAAACAGGCTATTAATAATAATATTTTTAGTATTTTAGGCGGGATAAACTTTATTCCGGCCTCGCGTATTACTCCCGGCATTAAAGCTTGCGCCCTAGAAATAACAGGACCTATGTTGGCTTGAAGGTTCAGACTTCGAAGAACAGACGCCCACGTTTTTTGGTCCCTTGGGTAACGGTTACGGTTCCTACCCCACGCACATCACCAGATGGCCTATGCCACTGCCACTGCGTGTTGTCTCTCCGCATAGCATCCGGCGTGGAGTTTCTAGCTCCCCTACAATCAGGAATTTGACTACGCCTTTTTGAAGAAATCTGGGACACGGTCAGGTCACTACTCTGACCGGTGTCCCGGTGATTTGGCTGACGTGCAATGCAGTAGTGGTCACTGGCTATTGAGCTGGTGGCTAAGGATGCAAATTCTTGGAGTTGGGGCTATGGGCATGGCGAGGGACAATATAAGTTTGATGTCAGTGGCTTCTTTCGCGTCTCGGAGTCTTGAATGTCAATGGATATCCGATGATTCTAACCCGGTCAACCATGACTCGAGAGAAAATCGGATCGACGTGACTCGACGTCGAAATCTGATACTGGAATACTTTTCGTAGTCATTTCCCTTCTCCTCATACTAGAGTTCGGATTATATGCATAATACAAATAACCATGATCAGAATCGAGGCGATACGCCCCGGCCATACTACTCCTGCTCCATACTTCAGACGCCTCCACATCCCCACAAGTGATCTGGCCGGCTCTTCGAGCTGATAATAGACTCCGATGGCTGACATGGATCTTCCTTTCATTTGAATCCAACATCAAGAGCAGGCGGAAGTCAATGGTAGCTTGCAATGACTGTCTGCGAATGAGGGCTTCGGCGAGACAGTAGAGCAGTGACAGATCCCTGCGCCGAGTTAGAGTCGCGGGGCTGATTGGAAGTAGACCTCAGGTGGAAAAGAGGATACCTCGAGAGTGGTGGTAGTGTCAATGCGACTGCTGAAACTCTGCAAAAGACCGTTTGAAGCAATATGAGAGATGTTCATTGATGAAATGTTGCTTTTTCTTCTCACACAAACAGATCATCGGACCTCTGGCGCCGCCGCCGCTACGAATTCTTGATTGACATTAGTAGCATCAGTACCTTGCGCCTCAGCCCTTGCCCGCGGGTCGAACAATCGTACCCACCACGCCGGAGGGTCAAAGGGACGGTGGCCTCCATGAAGAGATGGATAGACGTCGTTGAAGAAGTACCACACATGCCCGACCACCACACCGCAGATCTCATCCTTGGGAATAACCCCATGCACAACAAGACTGAACGCCATCAGCACCCAGGGCAGATATGGCGCGGTGAATACCAAGACGCCGAGGAAGCTGAGCCTGGTTTCCGGGTTTCGGCGACTCCAGATATAGACCAGGCTCGAGGACAAGGCGGTTCCCAGGAATGGCAGTGAGAGAAAGGGCGATATGACTATGAGCGACACCATGGCGTAGAGGAGTAACCAGGCGAAGTGGGCAGGGGATCGGCCAGATGATTCCTCCAGGAGTCTCGAGTACCGCTGGAGGAAGAAGACATGGAAAAGCAGGTCTAGATTAAGCGGTCCGAAGTACAGGAACGTTGTTATTAGACGCCAATACTGCTCATCTGTTAGCAAACTGCACACAGATATTTCGGTCTCAAATAGTTTTATGTAGGTGATTGTCCAGCCAATTACACTCCATGTTCTGATGCCCACGTTCGTTCTGTGCCTCGGGTTCTACTTACTTGCGACTTCACATACACTGCCCGGAATGAGTAAAACAGTTGGAGCGGGGTGAGGACATGACAATGAATCAAGACTGAGGTCCCGGCAACTAAGGCAGTCCATGTTCGAGTCACCGGAGGCATTTCGTAGAACCATCTGCAGTGTTCTTAGTTCGATTTGCTTGACATTGAGATGCGTGTGGGGAGTATTGCTGCACGTACTGCTCGAGAGGGAACTGCCCTCCCTGGCCTCCATTCCAAATGGCAGCCATTGAGAAAGTCTAGATAAGGTGCAGATGTGTCTTGAAGAGTAAATAAGAAACACAACTTGAAGCAGTCAGGACACCTACCCCAGGTTTCGGAAGGATGACGGAGCTGCCTCCAAGTGGCCTTTTCGGCCTCAGGCATAAGTATCATGTGATGGTCTTATCGATAGGTACATGTCTTATCTTTATCTATCTTTATCGCACTTCTCATCAGATCGATCCGTCTGACTGGGGCATGTCACTTGATGGACGCAGGGACCGCTCACTTGATACCTCCTAGTCTGTTCGCAGATGATGGTGATGATACTTTAGAGATCAGGATGTGCCGCGGCTCAGCCCATACCAGTGTGAACAGGCGTTTCCTCCTGCCACTATGTTGTCGCTGCTGTGGGACTTCCGCATGCGGATTTCAAGAGACGAACAGCCTACGATCAAACCAGGCTTCCCTCTTGAAACCAGAAAATATCGCAAATCATGCGCAGCTTTTTCCGCAGCTCGATCGATTTAAGGAAAGTCCTTCATTCCTGGGGCTCTGAAAGAACCGCCAGCGGGTCGCAGGCGGGGGATGTCTAACAAAGACAGCGATCTCTTTACCCTGACTGCGCCGGCTAGGGTGTGATGACATTTTGAAGTTGAAGCTGTGACACTCGCGCGTGCCCGTTTGCGTACAAGGTGATAGGCGTCCGTGTAGAATATTTGGTGGTCAAAAGGTCCTCCCTCTTTTCTTTTCTCAGGGAGCTTCATCACGCGATGTAAATGCGTACATTTACTTTTAAACAGACTATGTGCTTTCGATACATACGCAAGGCAAGTGCTTCCAACAGTCGCTCCTCATGAAACTCTGCCTGGAACCAGCAAAGGAAAATTCAGGTATTTCGCGCTGGAGAACTCGCCTTTGGACCCTTGTAGCGCCTACCACAGCCCATGCCGACATTCTAGGAATCCAGACCGTCATGGCAGATAGTCTGCGTCGTGCTGGAATTAAGTTGAAGTCCGTTATGACCATGAATCGTCGATCTCACGCTTTCGAAACCCTGTCTAAGGAGCAGGTCTCTTCAAAACGATGCTATCTACTCGAGCTCCCCGCAGAGTTACTACTCGAAATTATTTCGCATCTATCGGTGTTACCGGAGGCTTGTCTTGCGTTGACGTGCAAGAGACTATTCTCTATCTCCGCTCCCATTCTAATGTCTAAAGCGCTTCGATTCAGTCGCGACTTTGCTCCGATTTTCCATCATTATCGCAATGGCCACAGCTTCGCTACGACTCGATGGCAGCTGATCAAGATTCTCGAAGACACCCGCTGGAGATCTTGTTCAAGGTGTCTCAAACTCCACCCGCGATGTGCTTTTTCTCCTCGAGAACTACGACGCTGTCCTGAGGATCGAATTTGTCTATTGGGGAAGCTTGCAGGCGTCGTTGACATATGTCCTTGCAAGAAGGTGACTTTCCGAGACAAGATTGAACTTATCGAGATCCTCAAAATACGGCAAAATTCTGTGGCGCTCCTAGCATCGCAATTTGGTGGTGTTGAAGAACGCTTCTGCTGGCATTCATGCTCTGAGAAATACGGATCCACGGAAATGAAAATCGAGATCTTTCCTGAGCTGGACCAATATGACCAGCTCAGAATCAGAACGGAGTACCACCTCACTACGGTCCCAGGGCAGCTGGGGAAGGAGGATTACATGACAGCACGCTTTGGATGTGCCCATCGATCTGTGGATCTTTGGCTTTCCGGCGTCTGCCAGACAACTTTATGCCAGCTATACGAAAATCGGTGTGCTTCGTGTCGCCGAATATCTATCTGTGACTCGTGTAACACCGTGCTAAGATCTCCACGGAAGCAGCCTTGTCGGACAAATGAGGATGCTGGCACAGCTACCTACACCTTCTGGACCGAGAGGTGCCTTGGGGGCGCCTCGCCTGTTCCAGATACCACATGGGCGGCTCAAAGAATCCACCCTGCAGAACCCTTGGTCGATTTGGACAATTGCAGTGAGCTGTGCCCATGGACAATCAGGGAGCATCCTCCTCTTCGCAACGCTCCGTCGCTGGACATGGACATCCTTGACCCTGCCTTCCAAGACCAGTCACTTAATCAGTTGTATAACTCCATTGACACGAATTAGACCAAGGTGTATGGGGAGATGGTAGCTCAGCGTGGGCGTTTTATGGCGTTGTGTGTTACTCTATGTTCTTGGCCTCTTCCTTTTCCTGACCCGAGATACCGCATCCATAGACATGTTTCAAATACAATGAAGTCTTCTCTGTCCCCCATGCTCCCTACCATTCACGTGCTGATATACTTCGGCAACCGCGCTAATCCGCATTCGTCGACCGCGCCATTTCTCCGATCCGGAACCAAAGGTAAAGGCTCGCGGTGGAGGAACACGTCCAGAAACTGGCGTTGACTTGAGAATCAAGCGTATCTAGCAAATTAATTGCTTGGATGAGTGACATCCGTGTCCTGGGGCGATGAGCTACAACGGCCACTATCCGCAGCACTTGCATCATAACCGCCCTCCATCCGAGACCATACAACCCCAACTTCTCTACAACGCAAACGCCGTCAACGCCAATTCCAACGTCTCGCCGTATCAATATAGCAAACCTCAGGTCATACTACCGTCCTACCAAAATTATGGATACAGTCAACAGCCGCAGGCTTCCCCTATGCCTTTGCCCCAACAGCAGCAACCCTACGCCCCAGCTGCAATGCCAACATACGTAAACCCATCGGACATATTTCAACGGCCACAACCCATACTGCCTACATCGTCGCCTGCGTCCTTTAACAATCACCACGTGCCACAGTATGGCGCTCAATCTACGGTTCCTGTTGCTGGCAACAGCCCGTCTGTCACCACTCCTACTCCGCCTTTATCGGCTCCACGGCCAGCACCAACACCAACACTGACTCGAAATCACCGACCTAGTCCCAATTCTGCGAGTAATCAGTCTTTCAAAAACACCACTAAGCCTATGGATACCCCGCAACCGCCGGAAAAGGCCAACCCGATTACAGTTGTGCCACCGCCAGCGCCGCAGGTATTAGTCCCAGCTCCTTCGCCAGATGTACAGAAGATTCAGCGTCCACCATACAAGAAACAGGCCCATCAGCCCTCGCCGAAACCCGCGAAACCTGGAATCGATTATCAAATCCTTCTCCTGGCTATGGCCGAGGAGTATCTCGATGCCGCGCATAGCCACGGGACCACTATCGCCTTGATGAGAAGGGATGAGGAGCTGGAGGAATACTACAGGCTGGTTGCGACTGGTCTCGGCTGCTTGGAAGCAGTATTGAAGGTATGATAACAACAGCCAGATCACTAACATTCTCTCTAACACATTGTGCAGAACTGGAGGTTGCAACCGCGCGTAGAAGCCCTGGTGCGATTGAGATATGCACGCGTACTCTTCGAAGAGACGGACAATGATCTGGAAGCAGAGACAGCATTAAGTAAAGGCGTATGTCCATTTTTCTATTTCATTGCCTTCTACGTACTAACAGGTCTTGTTGTTTAGATCAACTTATGTGAGCGAGTGAGTGATATTTCTTCATGCCATTCCTGGCTGCAATGCTCATCCTTTCTAGAATCGTATGCTTGACCTGAAATACAGTATGCAGCATCTGCTAGCTCGGATGTTGTACAAGACAAATCCGAAGGCTGCTCTTAAAGCCGTGGATGGTATGATTCAGGATACTGAAGCGTAAGTTAGTCTTTATTGACTCGAAGAGACACCCTCTGACCAGATTAGCTACCGTCACTCTGCCTGGGAATACGCCTTTCGCTTTCTTAGGGTATCACTCTCCTTGTCATCACTCGCCCACCAGGAAACCACGTCAGCCCTTCAAAATCTCCATAAAGTATCTACCATGGCGAGCCGTAACGGCGACAGAGCTGTTTCTGCTATGTCTGCTATCATTGAAGCTTTGGCACATCTCCAGCAAGGATCCAGCTCAGACTCTATCGAGCAAGCACAGCGTGCCATAGCGGCTGCACGAAGCCATCAGCTGAATGATGAACTACGCCATGTTCCACAACTTACAGCCCTAATTCAGATTGTTGATATCTGCTGCAGTTTGCTTGAATATGATGTCAATCAATCCGCCCAGAAGCTCGGGTTTTTGCAAAGTCTGATGGACGATCGACTGAATGATTCAAATTGGCGCTGTGACGGGTCATTTTCCATTCCTTTGAGTGGCAAGTCGGCAGGCCCTTCCTCTATGGATACGGGCGATATCCTCCAAGTACAGGGCGGCACGTTGCTACTCAGTTTCAGCTGGCTACCACAACACGACCTCTATGGCCTTTGCTACTTTCTTAGCTCTATCACGTTGAGTTGTAAGAACTCATCTGATGGGCGGAAAGCTGAAAAGTTCCTTCAAGAAGGTGTACGCATGCTGAAGGGTTTGTCTTCCAGTTGGATAGTCTGAATCTAGCAACTGACATTCCTTAGGTAACTTTCAAAAGCCGCCGCAGGAAATCACGGAGTCTTTGGCCAATGCAAATAAACGGGCGGAATGGCGCAGGATAATATTCTGTAATCTACTTGTCCAGCAAGTGTTCCTGGCTTGTGCCCGCACAGACTGGGAGCTGGCCCACAGAGTTTTAAGAGAGCTCCGGCAAGAAACTCAATCATTGGGCGATAATCTTCCTGACACGATCCAATGCCTAATGCAGTACGCAGCGGGGACTATTGCGCAGGCGACGGGCGAGCTAGAGACGGCCCTAAGCGCCTTCCAATCCCCTCTATTCTCTCTCTCTGGTTTCAGCAAGACCGCCCGCAACGACCCCCGCCGCGACCTTGCCATCCTGGCAACCATCAACGTCGTCCTCATCATCAACAACCCAGCTCATCCATCTCACTCTCACCTTCCGAACCTCCTCACCATGCTCGAATCCTTCTGCCGAACAAGTCCTAACAAATACATCCAAGCAGCTTATTTCTTGCTCTGCGCAACCACGAACACGAACTCAACCATCCAGATCAAACAGAACCTCCAGCAAGCCCTTCAAACCGCAAACGCAATATGCAACAGTCAGATCATATGTATTACGTTAACCTTCATGAGTTGGAAGTACTTTCGCGGAGTCGTCGGAGAGCAAGCTGAGAAAAGCGCCCGCGCGGGCCGCGCAATGGCGGCGAAGGCTAGCGACCGTCTTTGGGTCAGCGTTACAGACGATATGCTGGCGGAGACTCTAGAGACGCAAGGGAAGGGCGAGGAGGCCAATAATGCCCGCGAGGAGGGGTATCGGGTGATGATGGACCTGCCTTCGGCGCTGAGACGGCCTGCTTAGGCTACCTAGGCTATGCTACAGGCTAGCTAAGTTCTTTCTCATATACGTCCCATCTCAATCATTGCTTTCTTGTAATCTGGCTTTTGTCTCTTTTCTCTTCTGATGCATTTCCTGTCACGGGTTTCATATGATACCATTTCCTAAACTCCTTACTCGGCGTTTCGTTATCACAGAGTCCGTCGGTCAGCGGTTTCAGCTTGGTGCATTACTTCGGTTGCGATATTTCTTGCTGCATGCTGTGCGTGGTTCGATAATTCGAAATTTATAGATTGGCGGCGCCAATATCAACTATTGATAGATATGAGCATCCTTTCATTCCATAGCAGAATCAGTCCAGACTTTGCGTGACAGGATACCAAAGTGGGTGATGATATATTATTCCAGGTTATTCTATAACTAGGCTGGATTGGTAGACTCTGTATTTTGTCTGAACCCGCCGCCATGCAGCCTGCATCTCATACGGCACTCGACCACGATTAAACAGAAAGCAAGACCGCAATTACTCCTTAACACATTGTGCGCCCGCGACTCATTTACCAACAAGAAACAAACAGATAGGAACCCCACTGAGACGTAACCTATACTTCGCTGGGTCCGACGATCAACGTAAACACCAAAAAAAGATAAATCGAGGAAACTTGAAACATTCACACATTTGCTCGTTGAGATATACCGCAACTCTTGCAAGTCACAGTGCTATCTCCGTCCTTGCAAACCAGGGTTATCACCCTCGTTCAAACCCGAGCCGTATCCGTATCGAAAGGGAATATCGAACCATCCACTTGGAAAGACGGCGCAAGATGAGATGAGAAGAAGCCCTAGCTCGAGAAAGCTTAACCAAGACCGCCCCAAGCCCCACGAATCCTCCTTGCAAGCTGAATATCCTTCTGCATAATAGTAACTCGTTTCGCGTGGATAGCGCAAAGATTCGTGTCCTCGAACAAGTGAACCAAGAACGCTTCAGCAGCTTCCTGAAGCGCTTGGATTGCATGCGACTGCCATCGCAGTTGGGACCCGACATCGGCAGGGAGCATATCGAGCGCGACTTCACGGACGAGGCGCGCAAAGGGCAGTTTGCGGAGAAGCAGGTCGTAGGAGCGTTGGTACTTGCGGATTTCTTTCAGCGCAACGGTGCCGGGTTTGTAGCGGTGGCGGCGGCCTTTGGGGGTTGGATCGCCGGCTGCTGAGGGTGTTAGTTTGGGATGCGTATAACCGTGGTGTGAGCGGTAACCTACGTTGCACACCGGGTTGCCCATCTGTTGATTTCCTTGGTCGCTTGCCTCCCTTGGATCCTGGCTTTGCTCCCGCTCCTGACCCTGAGGCTTTCACTCCGGGTGCTTTGGAGCTCTTTGTCACCTTTGAGGCAGAGGGGGAGGTGCCTAAGGCGGCTGTTGATGCTGTCTTGCCCGATGAGACTGTGGTTTTGGAGCTTCCGGTAGCTGCCGATGCCGGCTTTCGTCCTCTTGGAGCCATTTTGACGTAATCTGTGTTCCCGCGTAGAGGTGGTAGAGGTCGCGCTAAGCTCAGAAGTGAGGTATGAAGGTCCGAGGGTCGAAACTTGGGTTATTTTCTGCGGGTGGAGCACGTCAATTGAGCTAGGTACGCTGTGGAGGCGGGCTGTTTCGTCCGATCTGAGCACACTGCACCCCTAGGCCGCTGGCGTATAGGCAAATGGCAGATGCAGGTTTGTGGCAGGTCCAGGATCCCTCGCTGAAGTGAGCCTGAGGAAATTGCGAGAGAGCCTGGAAGAATTGAGGGGGCTGGGCCCTTGGAATAGCTTCTCAAGGAGCAGACGGACTCGGTTTAGCGCACCCAGCCTTCGAGATTAATTTGGCGCGTCTTCGTACCCGCGTAGCGCGTCAGTTCAGAATGCAGCAACAGTAGTATTATAAGAGGCTTGATATATCAACAGTTAAAAACTATGTAAAGCTCAATAACAGCTCGCATAGCTCAGTTGGTAGAGCGCGTGACTAGTAATCGCGGAAAAACTATTTTCCGACCAGGGTAATATCACGAGGTCAGCGGTTCAAGTCCGCTTGTGAGCATTATTGATTTTTTTTTGTCTACTATTTTTGTATATCCAGATTAATCTGGATATGATATTGCCATATAAAACAAGGGTCCATAGACAATCTATTATCATTATCATTCAAGGTGGACAAGCATCTGCTCATAACCAACGTCCCGGACCGCCTCGCGAGGTTTGGCCGCGGTCTTCTGCGCAGGTGCATTGTATTAAAATCATATCTTTTTTATGTATTTAAATTAATCTGGGTAGGAGGAAAGGGACCAAGCTTTTTAGTATATTAGGAATAGGAGCTAGAGGTAGATACTACTATACGGTTATCTGCTGTGGTTCCGTCCTGACCGGCATTACATCGTGGATTGCGTTGAAATCCTATCTTCTCTACGTATCCAGATTAATCTGGGTAGGAGGAGAGGGATCGAGCTTTTATAATTACCAGTACGGGATAAGAGCTGGAAATAAAAGCATCATGGCCTTCTGCCGCGGTCCTGTTCTGATTAGAATAGCTATGTATATCGCGTCAAAATCCCACCTTGATCTGTATCCAGATTAACCTGGAAAGAAGGCAAGGGATGGATTGAGTTTCTACAATTAGAAGTATGGAATAGAGCTGAGATGAGAATCATTATGGTCTTTAGCTATCTTCATGTTCAGACTAGGTAACAGAAAAAAAAAAGAGAGACCAACGACTCTTTAGAAAACGGATCTGTCGAACTCGTCACAGTCCGCTGTACGCTTCCATATATGATAGTGGTAGCGGAGCTTATGACTAACCATCGTGCGCCAATGCTGAATGAATCTAGTTGCCTCTTGTACGCTAGATCCAAAAAGGGCCTCCAGTTCGGCCTTGACTGCCACATCGGTGTATGACTTGAAGCCAATCGATGCGAGGGCGATCGGGGTATCTGCGCTCACGAACGAGGTGCCGGGATTTGAAAGCTGGTCATTGCCCTGTTTGTGCATCGTTTGAATATCAAGAGTAACCGGTTCTCCGAGAGACCGTGTGATCATCAAATCTTTGATGCAATCTTGGCCAGTTTCGAATAGATCTAATTGGCGCATCTCATGCTCCGTTGCTGGTGTTGGTTGGAAGACCAACCCAATGCCATCTCCGATCGTGAATTGTACCAACGTTCCGCCATTACCCACGGTCTTTTTTAACCCAGCAACCGCCACTCCCGTCTGGACGATCTTTGCGTCCTGTCGAATGGCAAAGATCTCCCGCGTCCCTTTTATAACGGTCTGTATGAGGTATAGAAGCGGATCGCAGTCAAGTATCTGTTGGAGTAATGAGTATTGGCTTCCTCCGTCCTCATAGAAGGCTGCATGGCGGCGCCTGAGATGGCGGATTTCAATGACAGCCAGCTGCATGAGGGTGTAATGCTGTGTGCTTCGTTTTTGGTTTGTCCAGGCAAACACTGTATTCAATTCCACCGGCTTTCCATCGAGCACGCTGGTGATTTTTTCACGAGCATTCTGCTCTCCCAACTCTGTGAGGATACCGACGACTTGCTCTGCGTCGGGTGTCAGTGCCGTGGCAGATGTGGCAGGGCCAGCTGGCACGATGGCGGCTGGACCTGAGACTGTGGCGGGTGTTGGTTTCACTGCCTTTCCCCGCTTTGCTTTCTTTCTTTGGGGGCCCTCTTAGCCATCATCCTGGTCATCATTCTAATTAGATTCAGACTGTTTTTCGGGCTGCGGCTCTGGCTCAGGCTCAGGCTCTGGTGCTGGCTGAGGTTGAGGCTTAGGTTGAGGCTCTGGTGCTGGCTGAGGTGCTGGCTGAGGCACCACCTGGTCGTCTATTTGCGGCAATCAAAAAAGTCAGTACTCTGTATATCAGACTGAGCTTGCTCTGTCCAGTGTTAGACTAACCTGCGTTTTCTTCGTCCACAGTTTCCACTATGAGCCCTTGCGGTATCGGCGGCACTGTGTCCATGCGTCCCGTCTTGCAAGCATGCCCTGAGATTTGCGCGAATTCAGCATCGGGCATTACCATCAATAGATGGTCTGGCCCGCGTTTGACCTTGTAAACGGCGAGTTGCGCTGTCGTTGGCGGGGCCGGGCGGGGGTTCAGTCTAGCCTTTTCGATTGCGCCTCCGAAATCAACCTGTCCTGGTTCTAGTCGCAGGGCATGCCCTCTAGTGGGATCCGAGTATCTGTCGTACTGTGCCGATACGATCAAATCCATAGCAGCTTGGTAATTTGGAACAGCTCTTGCGAATTGGCCGCCGAGTTTTGCGAAACCTTGAGAATCATTCAACTTCGAAAACTCCACATCGGACTCTTGCCACTTGCTCTTCATGGTTTCTCTCGAGGTCTTGACTTGTTTCTGGTTGTTCATAACTGTGGTTATGCGTTGCAACATCTCATTCCATGTATGGCGGTAGTCTGCTGTGTTCTTAAAGGTACCAAAGTTCTTTATGGTCTTCTCGGCCATCGCGTAAATGGTCAAGAAGACTGTATCTGCAAAGTTCTGATGCTTTTGGAATACATCTGTTACTTCTGCGACCGCTCATTGAATCGCTTGGTGTATTTATCCATGGGTAACTCAGTATGCCATTGCTCAAGTCTTCGTATGCGTGCTTGTGCGTCCACGAACTCCTCTCCCCCAACAATCGCGGTTTTCGTATTGTTGGTAAACCTTTGCAACGACATCTATAAGAAGAATTTAGTTAGCCTGGGACCTTGATGTTATTATAGCTAAGAAATGGCTGTGGGTGAATGCCTTGAGGTGATGTGTTGGTGTGTGTGAGGAGAAGAGAAGAGGGAGGAGAAGATTATATTATGGCTACCGGTGAAACGTCGTCGCCTGGCTTCCGAGAGTTGGCTCCTTTTATTCCAGATTAATCTAGTTACAGCTAACTTCACAATAGCTGTCTACATTAATTATCTACAGCAAAGGAATCAGCATGTTAACCAACATGTAAAACTAACCCTATTCCTTGAGATATCCAAAAAGGCTTTCAGGCATCCAGGAATCAATCATGCCTCGTGCCTCAAAGAACTAACTCTCTTCTTTCCAGATTAATTTGGTTATAAATGTACCTTATAGTGGCTGTTGACATCAAATTTAGGGGCTTAAGACATTAAGAAAGGTATAAAGTAGCCTTATATACTGGAAACAAGGCTTTGAAGCATCCGGAGTTCAATCAAGTATTATGCCTCAAAGAGCTATCCCCTTCATATCCGGATTAATCTGGTTATAAATCTACATCGCAATGGCTGTTGACATGAAAGTTAGGGAGTTAGGACATCAAGAAAGGTATAAAATCATCCTTAAGTACTAAGAACAAGGCTTTAAAGTCTCTTGGGTATCAATATATACGTCTAACAGCTCACTGGAGTAACCCACCTTGCACGCTTGGCTGTCAGGTCAAATTCTATAGTCCCGCATGATTTCCCAGATCCCTGACCCAATATGCAATAGCATTGGCGAAGGAAGACACGGACTCTGCATGGATGTTGGCTGTTTCCTTTGACGAGCCTAGTCAAGAAGCTGATCCCCGAATATGGGCACGAATAAATCCTGGTGCCAGCTTCCCTCGTCAACTGGGCAGCCCAGTGCCTCAAGAATTTGCGGCAACCAATCCACCGTCTGAAAAAATTCGTAGTCCTCATTGAATAGTTGCTGGTCGTGAATACCAAGCCGCAGGTCCTCACATAGTGTAATCTTGAGGCCGTTCATAACCCCGAAAATCGGGTATTATATTATTAATTTTATTTATAAAAATTATTAAGTAGTTTTAAAATATCCCTAAATAATTAAAGTAAATCCAGACCTTTACCTTATTATAATAAAATAAACTTGGTAAAATTATATGCCTTTTATTAAAATTAAAATATTATAAAAGTTTATAAAAATTATACGCAAGGGACTAGTACTTATAATACTTTATTAATTAAAAAAGGCTAAAAAAAATAAAAGTGGTCCTGCTATTTTAGTATATTTATTAAAGTAAAGTTTTTTTAAAATAAAAAGCTGCTTAACTTTTAATTAATAAAGTAAAGTATAAAATTTTATTAAAAAAGGTAAAAAGCCTCCGTGGGGTTTTATTTATAATTTTTTTAATATAAGTTATAAATATTAAAAAAGTATTTTAATAAAATACTTAAAAAAAATAAATTAAGTTATTTTAAAGTAGTGTTAAAGCACTAGTACTTTTTATTTAAAAACTTAATAAATTTTTATATTTTTAAATTAATTACCATGGATTAAATATAATAACTAATAAGAATTATTATTTATTACCATGTATTAACAAGCTAATAAATTAGCTAGTAAATATAAAATATTTTATTAAGCTAAATTTGCGTGACACGTATTATAAAATATAAATTTAAAAAAATAAATAAAAAATAGTATTTTAAACCTATTATAATTACTATAAGTATATAATTATGCCTTTTAGCTTAATAAATATATTAGTTATATTTTAATTTTATATAAATATAGCTATAAGCAGGATTTTTAATAAATTTTATATTATTTATTTTAATAATATTTTTATTTTTTTTTAAAATAAAAAAGAAACATATATACCATGTTTAAAAAGTTCTTAATTAATTAAAAAGGCATAATTTATATGCAAAATTCTTAAAATATAGTTTTTATTAAAAAAGGTAAAGTTTTTAGGCTTTATTATTAAATAAAAAAAATATTTATTAATCTAGACTATAACTAGATTATTATTAATTAGCTAAAACTAATATTATTTTATAAGTTATAAGATTTTTTAGGCTTTATAAATTATTTTTAATATTTTATTTTTAATTACGCTAAAGTAACGCGTTTAATAACCTAGCTTTTAATAAAAATAGTAAAAAAATTATAAAAATAGGCTATTTTTATTTTTTTATTAATATAAAAAATATATTTAAAAAAATTAAATTAAACTTTACTGGGCTGCTAGTACTATAATACTTTAATTTTTTTTAAAAAAATTTATTATTATTAATATGTTAAAATTTATTATTACTAGAATTATTATATAGCTAAAGTAAAAAAAGTTACTTAATAAAAAATAGGACTAGTAACACCCCGTGGCCTTCTATTTTTATTAATTATATAAACCTAAGCTTTATTATAAAATTTATAATTAAAAATTACTTATAGTAATTAAGTACTTTAAAAAATAATATTATTATTTTAAGGGCTTTTTATATTTTATATATATATATAGTATAATTATAATAACCTATATTATTTTTTTATAATAAAGGTTTTAAATTAAAGGCAGGTATAATAGGTAAAATTACTTATAATTTATAATTTTAAGATTAAGTATAAACTAAGCAAGTATAATTTAGTAAATATATTATTATAATAATTAAATTATATAATAAAAAATAAAAAGTATTAAGTTAAAATACTTTTTACCTTATAAAAAAAGTTAAGTTTATTCCCTTAATAAACTATTATTAAAATAATATTAAAAAACCTAGCTATCCCTCCGCGTGGTTAAGCTTGTAAGTACTTAAAACCTTTAAATTTTAAAATATTTATTATAAAAATAGTAAATAAAAAAAACTATTAAATTAATTATAAATACCCTTTAATAATAATTAATTATAACTTAATAAAAAAATACTTTTGCTAGTTAATTATAATAATAACTTAAAAATATAATTTTTATTAATTTAAAATAAGCTTTTTTTATTACTAAATAACGCAAGAAAAAAGAACTTTTTTTATAAAAGTATTATTTATATACCTTCCATGCCTGCGTTATAATATAAGATTATAAAATAATATTATAATAATTTTTATATAAGCTACTTTAGTTATAAAAGGACTATTAAACTACTTACCTATAAGTTTTAGTAAAAAAAAGTTTAATAAAAATACGTGTGTATATATTAAAAAATATTTCTTATATTAAAAATTTAAGGTTTTAAGATAGCTACCTTAAAAAAGTTTAATATTTTTTTTAATATTAAATATATTATAAAAAATATTTTTATAAACTTTATTATTAGCCTACCTTTATTAAAGTATAAAGGGCGTGTTTATAATATAATTTTAGTAATTATAAATTAATTTAATAAAAAAGTAAAATATTTTTTTATTATTAATAAAATTACTATAAAAAAGTTAGCTAATTTATTTATTAAAAAAATTATATATAATATAGGGTTGCCCCGGAGCATAGTAATAAATTAAGATTTACTTTTTATTTTAAGATATTAAATAGCCTTTTATTAAGTACTATGTATTAAATAATAACTTAGTATAATATACTATTTTTAATTAAATAATTAAACTAAGCACTAAAACTAAATACTTAAGGTATATTTACACGTGTATTATAATTACTAGTAAAATAATTAAATATTATACTTACTACTAGCATGCTTTACCTATAATAATTTAAAAAATAACTTAATTAATTATACTTTGCTTATAATAAGCCGTGGGCAGGAATTAATAATTTTTAGGCTTAAAAACTTAAAAAATTAATATTTTATTTTTTTATTAAAAAGTGCTTACACCATTTAAAATAGCTTTATAAAAATTTATAAAATTATATAAATAAAATATAAAAAAAGCAAGCGCTTTATTATAATTAAAAATATTATTTAATAAAATTTAAGGTTAAAAATAATATTTTAGTGTTTCTTAAAAATATTAAGTTAATATATTTAAGTAAGAAACTTAACCTAAAGTATAATAAACCCTTTAAAATTAGATTTATTATTAAAAAGTAGGTGTATTAGCTCTAGCTTACTAATATATATATAATTAATTAAAAATTTATTTAGTGTTTTATATTTTTTAAAGCTATTTATATAGTAAGATAAGCTTAAAAAAAGTAATTATTAATTATTAAGTTAGTTAATAAAAAAAAGAATAAAAAGTTAAGGTTATTTTTAAAAAATAATATATTTATAAATATAATAAATTTTTTATTAAGTTAAAGGGCTAGCCTAGCTATAAAAATTTATAAAAACTACTTTTTAATTTTAAGCATGCATAAAAAGCCCTAGTAAATTATAAAAAACTAGTTATAATAATACTAGTTTATTATTAATTTAAAAAAAGGTAATAATTTTACTAAATTAAATACCTTTTTTTACTAAGTTTTAAGGTTTAATAAACTACTAGTATTATTAAAAAATTATTAAATTATTATTTAAATATTACTAGTTACCTATAGCTTTAAAAAGGGGTGTAAATTTTTTTATTTTATAAGATTTTAAAATTATACCTAAGGCTATAAGTAAAGTAGTTATTTTTTTTATTTTTTTATAAAATTTTAAAATTTAATAAATTATAGCTAGACCGCCGCCGGCTTGGTATTAAAACTTATTTTAAATTATAATTTAAAATAAAAACTATGTTTATATTAAAGTCAAAGTATTAAAAAAAATCTTTTATTTTTCTTAAAAAAATAATAATAACTAGTTACGCGGCAAGGCTATAATAAAAATTTATTATTT